TTTCATGGCTAAGACAGGACTAGAACTCACCCTCTCCTGGTGATTGGCCCAGAGTTACCTAGCCAGATTTCATGGCTAAGGAAGGACTAGAACTCATCATCTCCTACTGATTGGCCCAAAGTAACCCATCAGGATTTCATGGCTAAGGCAAGACTAGAATTCACCCTCTCCTGGTGATTGGCCCAGAGTCACCCATCCGGATTTCATGCCTAAGACGGAACTAGAACTCACCGTCTCCTAGGGAGATTGTTCCACCACCACCACCCCCAATGAACTGAGCCTCAGTTAACTCAGCCAAATGTTCTGGGTTTGCCTTAGTGAGCTGGCACTGCCCCCTAAGTGAAAACGTGGCTGGTAAATCTGTGAACGGAGGCAATTAAGTTGTTTTTTGCAGAGTATCAAAGGAAGGACTCTTTTGACCAATTTCCTAACTTTTGCGATCGTCTTCCGTCTCCACCTTAGTTGTCAGCCCCGAATCGGAAATCTGGTTCCTGGACCGCGGCCTTTACTGGCACTTCCTCACCAAATCCTTCACCGCTTATTACCGGCTTCTGATCACTCATCTGGGACTCCCCCAGTGGCAGTACATCTTCACCAGCTACGGCCTCAGCCCCCAGGCCAAGGTGAGTGAGGGCAGCCGCCTCTTCAGAAGCCTTTGCTTGCACCTGGATGGACCTGCCAATCCGCCCTTGGAGGCTGAATAAAAAAAATAACAAGAGTTGGAAGGGACCTGGGAGGTCATCTAGTCCACCCCCCTGCTCAGCCAGGAGACAGTGTTCCATTTCAGACAAAGGGTTGTCTGTCCAGTCTCTTCTTAAAAACCTCCACTGACACCCACCGCTTCTGGAGGCAGGTCGTTCCACTGGTTAATTAACAGAATCACTGAGTTGGAAGGGACCTCAGAGGTCTTCTAGTCCAGCCCCCCCCCCCACTCGAGCTGGAGACCGTACACCAGTGGTTCTCAACCTTTTTAATGCCACAACCCCCAACCGGTCATAAGTCGAGGACTACTCAACTGGTGCAGCACCGTTTGCAGAATGGGACTTTTGGTGGGCTCAGCAGGGCAGAGACAGCCTGGACAATTCCTATTGGCTTTTGAAAGCCAATAGAATTAGACTCTATTCAAGGAAGTCTATTCTATTGGCTTTCAAAAGCCAATAGAATAAAAGGGAGTAGCACAGCTAAGGAAAAGGGGAAAAAAATGGCGGACTGCGTTGTTTGGCGACCCCCGTGAAATGGTCGTTTGACCCCAAATGGGGTCCCGACCCACAGGTTGAGAACCACTGCCCTACACCCTATCAGAGAAATATCTGTCCAGTCCCTTCTTAAAAACTTGCGGTGTTGGAGCATGTTGGCCAAGTGGGCTAAAGCCAATTATCGGTAGTCCTTGACTTACAACCACTCGTTTAATGGCTGTTTGAAATTACAACAGCACAGAAAAAAGAGGAATTATGACCGTTTTTCACATTTATGACCATTGCAGCCTCCCCACAGCCACGTAACAACCGCGGCGATTCGCTTGACAGTGCTGGCAAGACAAGATGGTAAAATGGGGCAAGGCTCACATGGCCAGTGCCTTGCTTAGTGACGGAAATGTGGGGGTTCCATTGTGGTCGTGAACCACCGCATCCCAGCAGGATGGAGAACGAAGTACCAAAGAGGAGATAAATTACTAGTAAAGGAGAATCTTTGTAGCTCAGGGTTGACATGAGGGGTCCTTGGCGCCCTGTGAACTTGGTGGTTTCCTTGCGGACGTTTTACGGCCCAAACTAGGTAACGTCATCAGTGCTAGAAGGAGAAGGGTTTGCAGAGAAGTGGAGGAGGAGGAGGAGATAACTATGGGGTCCTTGGTGCCCTCTGAACTTGGTGGTTTCCTTGCAGATGTTTCATGACCCAAACTAGGTAACATCAGTGCTAGAAGGAGGGGTTTGCAGAGAAGAGGAGGAGGAGGAGATAATTGTGGGGTCCTTGGTGCCCTCTGAACTTGGTGGTTTCCTTGCAGAAGTTTCATGACCCACCTAGGTGACATCATCAGTGCTAGAAGAGAGAGAGGTGTGGAGTAGTAGTAGGAGGAGGAGAATTGTGGGGTCCTTGGTTGCTCTGAACTTGGTGGTTTTCTTGCAGACGTTTCATGACCCAACTAGGTGGCATCATCAGGGCGAGAAGAGAGTGGGGTTTGCTCTCAGTTTACACTCTGGTGCCTTGCTTGGTCAGTGTTGGTGGGGGTGGCCTTAGAGGTACTTTGGTTGAGCCATTTCCTCTTGGCTTGACTGGCGGTTCCTTGATTGGGGCATTGTTTACCTCCTGAGTGTTGGTCTGATGTTAATCTATGCTCCTCTGGGTATTGACTGCTGGTAGGGGAGTGTTTTGATCTTCCCCCCCCTTTTGGGGGGGCTTTTTAACTATTTAACTTGAACGGTATGTAGATGTTGTCTATCTCTTTGTGCCTGTTGATGGCTGCTTTGTCTGAGTGCCAGGCTTTCAGGAATTCTCTAGGCCAGTGTTTCTTTGCTGGCTGTGGAATTCTGGGAGTTGAAGTCCACATGCCTTAAAATTGTCAAGGTTGAGAAACACTGGCCTAGAGAATTCCTGAACGCCTGGCACTCAGACAAAGCAGCCATCAACAGGCACAAAGAGATAGACAACATCTACATACCATTCAAGTTAAATAGTTAAAAAGCCCCCCCAAAAAGGGGGGGAAAGATCAAAACACTCCCCTACCAGCAGTGCTGGCTGTGGAATTCTGGGAGTTGAAGTCCACATGCCTTAAAATTGTCAAGGTTGAGAAACACTGCTCTAGGCTTTTAGAACTTGGCTTGGTCACGCCTTAAAATTGTCAAGGTTGAGAAACACTGCTCTAGGCTTTTAGAACTTGGCTTGGTCACGCCTTCCCAGTTCAAACTAGGGTTGAGTCTGTCCATAAATTGTGAAATTAAAAGAGTTTTCATCTTTGAGAGTTTCCCCGCTCCTTCCTCGCACTGATGACATTACCTAGCTGGATAATGAAACGTCTGCAAGAAAACAAGCACGCTCGGAGAGCACCGAGGGAGACAAAATTAGCCGGGAATCCCGGGGGGGTCCCTTCCTCTCCTGCTCTCCCCTTCCCAAACCCCGGCTCTGACTTCCCTTTTTCTCTTCCTCGTCTTCCAGCAATGGTTCAACATGTACAAACCCATCACACTCAACACGGAGCGGCTGTCGGAAGTGGCTGACGCGTTCGTCAACAAGCTGGACCCCAATAAGGTTTTCCGCAGCAAGACCAAGATGCCCCCGGTGAAGAAGAGGTCGCCGTCCCAGCTGGCCCCCTCCCAGAAGAGCCAGACGGCCGGAGGGTCGCCCCGGAACCCTCCGCAGGGCGGGAGCTTGTCAAGAAGACGGGAAACGCAGCCTTGAGCCTCCCTCTGGATTCCCACCCACCCATCCATCCTAACCGGCCCCCCCCCTAGATGTTGCCCAGCCTCCTAGCTCCACCTGGCTCCTTCTGCTTTGCAGGACTTAAATATTTATTGCTGAATATTTATTGCCACAGACTTGAAGCCCTGCCTGATTTTTTTTGGGGGGGGGAGGCACACCTGCAACTCTTCCAAAAGACAAAGGGGGGGGGAAGGGGGTGTTTTTAATGCACTCGTTCTCTTATCCCGGGTTTGCACAGAACTGTTCCCACACCTATCGCAAGGCTAATTACTTGCTTCTTCCCCCCTGCTCTCCCTCTTTCCTTTTTTCTCTTCCATCTCTCCCTACCTCCTTCTATCCCTTCCTTTTTCCTTCTTCCTCTCTCCCTCCCCCTTCCTCATTTTCCTTCCTTCCATGCTCTCTTCCTTTCTTTCCCTTCTTCCTTCTATCCATCCTCTCCCTCCCACCCTCTTTCTCAACTTCCTTCTCTCTCATCCTCCCTCCTTCCTTCCTTTTCCCTTCCCTCCCTCCTTCCTTCCTTTCTCCTTCCCCCTTCTTCCCTTTCTTTCCTTTGCTCCGCCCTCCCTCCCTTTCTTTCCTTCTTCCCCCGCTTTCCCTCCTTCCTTTTTTCCCATCTCTCCCTACCTCCTTCCATCCCTTCCTTTTTCCTTCTTCCTCTCTCCCTCCCCCTTCCTCATTTTCCTTCCTTCCATACTCCCTCTCTTCCTTTCTTTCCCTTCTTCCTTCTATCCATCCTCCCCTCTCCCTCCCACCCTCTCTTTCTAAACTTTCTTCCTTCTCTCTCACCCTCCCTCCTTCCTTCCTTTTCCCTTCCCTACCTCCTTCCTTCCTTTCTCCCTCCCCCTTCCTCCCCTTCTTCCCTTTTTTCCTTTCTTTCTTTGTTCCACCCTCCCTCCCTTTCTTTCCTTCTTCCCCGCTTTCCCTCCTTCCTTTTTTCCCTTCCATCTCTCCCTACCTCCTTCCATCCCTTCCTTTTTCCTTCTTCCTCTCTCCCTCCCCTTCCTCATTTTCCTTCCTTCCATGCTCCCTCTCTTCCTTTCTTTCCCTTCTTCTATCCATCCTCCCCCCACCCTCACTTTCTCACTCAACTTCCTTCTCTCTCGCCCTCCCTCCTTTTTGCTTCCTTCCCTCCCTTCCTCCTTCCTTCCTTTCTCCCTCTCCCTTCCCCCTTCTTTCTTTCCTTCTTCCCATCCTCCCTCCCTTTCTTTCTTTCCTTCATTCCATCCTCCCTCCCTCCCTTTCTTTCCTTCCATCTTCCCTCCCTCCCTCCCTCCCTCCCTGGAAATACATCCCTGGTGAACTCATAAGGCACCATTCCCCAACCTGGCACCCTTCAAAGCTCTTTAACTGCAACTCTCAAGAGTACCCCAGCCAGGTGGTCCAACTATATGGGATGAGAAGTTACAGAGGTTGCAGCCTGCTGGGGAAGATGGTCCCAGTAGTAGAGAAAAGCCATCTCCTTGCTTCCAGGCCTGGGTTCCAAAGAAAAGGTGATGAATTTAGGAAGATCTCAGCTGGTTTCTGACCAGAAATGGACAGGGATGGATTCTCCTTAGAACATGGACACCTATTCTTGTCTCCACCACTGGTCTTAAACAGGTAGATTTATTTTTTCCAAGTCTCTTTCTCGGGTGTCCATTGTCCTCCCTGATCAAAGCTGGTCTGCACGTCTTCCAGGACGGTGGACAGCTGTCTCCAAGTTGAGCAAGAGAACTGTTCCTAGTGCAGCCCCCATAGGAGCTGATCAGTTCCATCTTTCTCCTGTCTTCCCCAAAGGATCTCCTGTGTTCCTTGAGGACCAGGAAGGAAAGCATGTTCAGATGTTCAAAGAACATAATCCTTTCAAAGCAGCCCTCCCCGGTCACATGGGAGACGTCAACTCGGCCTCCGGGTCTTGCTTTGAAGGTTCTGGATCTGAGGGAGAGCGATTGTGGAAGTCTATCAGGATGTTGTAGATGAACATCCCAACAAGGCATCCAAGGGTTGGGGCCACCATCGGCACCCACCACCAGCAGTTGCCTGCTCTGAAAGAAGAAGGAAGTCCAGATTAGCAGTAGACCCTAAGCCAGGATATCTTGGCCACTTGGAGATAGGTGGACTTCAACTCCCAGACTTCCCCAGCTAGATAACTGGAGAATTCTGGGAGTTGAAGTCCACACACTGAAATCCACACAGGTCTCAACATTAAAGTCCACACATGTGTCTCAACCTTGGCCACTTGAAGGTGTGTGGACTTCAACGCCCAGAATTCTCCAGCCAGCATGGCTAGCTGGGGAATTCTGGGCGTTGAAGTCCATACATGTGTCTCAACCGTCATCACTTGAGGGTGTGTGGACTTCAAATCCCAGAATTCCCCAGCCAGCATGGTAGCTGGGGAATTCTGGGAGTTGAAGTCCACACATTGAAATCTACACGAGTCTCCACCTTAAAGTCCACACATGTGTCTCAACCTTGGTCACTTGAGGTTGTGTGGACTTCAATTCCCAGAATTCCCCAGCTAGCATGGCTAGCTGGAGAATTCTGGGAGTTGAAGTCCAGACCTCTTCAAGCAACCAAAGTTGAGACACACTGCCTTCAGCCATGACTTCTGCAGTATTGGTTAGCTTTCTTCTGCTCCAAAATTAGATAAAGTCATGGTTCCTAGCTGGCCCAAGGCATTGTGGGAATCCATTTTTAATCCTGTAATAAATTGGAAGGTTAGTTTGATTTGAAAAATTGCCTGGACCCACAGAAGGTTGAGCCCCACTCCTGGCAATTGGTGGACATTTTTTTATATATTTAACTTATTTATTTAAAAGATGTATATATGACCAGCCACAGCAACTCTGATTATAAAACCTAGAGCTATCAAACTATCAGAAAGTAGTAAGAACAATAAAATAGGTTGCCAGTATTTTCTCTCAGTTTTTTTTAAAAAAAAAAAAAAAATACATATCTGAAACATCCAATCTAGGAGAAATTTCCTGACAGTCAGAACAATGAATCAGTGGAACAACCAGCCTGCAGAAGTTGTGAGTGCTCCATCGCTGGAGGTTTTTAAGAAAAGATTGGACAGCCATGTGTCTGGAATGGTATAAGTTCTCCTGCCTGAGCAGGGGGTTGGACTAGAAGACCTCCAAGGTCCCTTCCAACTCTGTTACGCTGTAAAGTTTATTGCTCCAAAATGATAACCACCAGAAGTGAGCAATTACAAATATACGCCCTTATGACCACAATTCAGCCCCAAATTTTTCCTGCTAAGTGAAGACAATTGGTAAGTGAGTTTTGCCCCCATTTCACAACCTTTCTTGCCCTAGTTGTTAAGCGAATCACTGCAGCTGTTATGTTAGTAACAGGGCTGTTAAGCTTCCCCATTGACTCTGCTTGTCAGGAGGTCACAAAGGATGATCATGTGACCAACTTAACCAACTGCCCTGATTCACTTAACAACAGTGGCAAGAAAAGTCGTAAAATTGGGGCAAAAACTCAACAAGTGTTTCACTTAACAATGGAAATGTTAGCCTCGATTGCGATCGTAAGTTGAGAACTACCTGTAATGTAAGATGGCAGAAGTTCTACCAGGCCAGACGGTGGGATAGTCCTTCTCATCGGTAAACTAAATCGGTGCCACCAACTCACCGGAACACCTCTAGCCCCCATCCAGCGAGAGCAGTGAAAATCCGCGGGGGGAGATCCCTGGAAGGGTTGATGGCATAGCCGGTGTTCATCCCCATGGACATGCCGATGACCACCACCAACAGCCCGGTGATGAAGGCATTGGTGCCTGGCAGTGCCCTGGCGTTCTTCATATCGTGGATGGCGAGGACACCGATCATCAGCAGGCTGCTTGCAATAACCTGCGGAAGAGAGGGATGGGCGTCAAGGCTCAAGACGATCAAAGGGCAGGGCGGGACCCTGTAGAATATTTGTAGCTCAGCCTTGAACGGTGGAGGCCTTGGTGCTCTCTGAACTGGGTGGTTTTCTTGCAGACATCTCATGAAAAGACTAGGTAACCTCATCAGGGCTAGAAGGGAGGAGGAGGAGGAGGAGGAGGAGGAGGAGGAGGAGGAGGAGGAGGAGGAGAAGGAAGAAGAGGAAGAAGAAGAAGAAGAAGAAGAAGAAGAAGAAGAAGAAGAAGAAGAAGAAGAAGAAGAAGAAGAAGAAGAAGAAGAAGAAGAAGAAGAAGAAGAAGAAGAACCATTTGGGTGAGAAATGTCAAATTTACACAAGCACAGAACTTAAGGGAGAATTTTTATAAAATGTTTTATAGATGGCACCTTGATCCACAAAAAATGTCTCTTATGTACCCTGACTTACAACCTAAATGTTGGAGATGTGGTTGTATGGATGCTACCTATTATCATATTTGGTGGTCGTGTAGAGAGATAAAAGCATTTTGGATTAAGATATGGTGGAATATCCAGAGAATTTTTAGAAGGAGGGTAAAATTTACTCCGCAATTATTTTTGTTGGGTATAGTTACTGATTGTGATACAAAGGAGGTTATATTGATGTTAAATTTGATTACAGCCGCGAAGCTGTTAGTAGGACAATATTGGAAGAAGGAATCTTTGCCTACATTGCAGGAATGGTTTCTTAAAGTCTCTTATTTGGCGGAAATGGCAAAGATTTCGGCTTTTTTAAAGGAACAAACGCAAGAGAAATTTCTTGCTGTTTGGGATAAATGGATAAAATTTATACAATTTAAATTGGATATAAAAAAATATCATATAGCCTTTTCATAATTTTTATTTTTATATATATACATATATATGTTAATGTTATTTTTTTTTCTTTCTTTCTTTTTATAAATATAATTTTTTAACTGTTTTTTAATTAAGCCTATATCCTGCTCTGGGAAGCTCAGGGGGGGGAAGGGGGGGGTGTTTGGGTGGGGGTGGGGGGAGGGGGTTTTTGTTGTGTAATGTTTAGGTTTTTTTTCTCTTTGTATATGTGTTTTTTGTTATTGTATTGTTTTGTTCTTTTTGTAAAATTTATAAAACTTTTTAATAAAAAAAAAAAGAAGAAGAAGAAGAAGAAGAAGAAGAAGAAGAAGAGGAAGAGGAAGAGGAAGAGGAAGAGGAAGAGGAAGAAGACAACGACAATGGGGTCCTGGATGCTCTCTGAGCTGCCTGATTTTCTTGTAGATGTCTCATGAAACAACTAGGTAACCTCATCAAGGCTAGAAGAGAGGAGGAGGAGGAGGAGAGGTATGAAGGTTCAGGATGATCAAAGGGTAAGGTGTGACCCTAAAGAATCTTTGTAGCTCAGCCCTGAACTGTGGGGTCCTGGGTGCTCTCTGAGCTGGTGTGCTTTTCTTGCATACATTTCATAACCCAGCTAGGTACCTTCATCAGTGCTAGAAGGGGGTGGGGTTTGTGGGAGAAGAGGAGATTGTGGGGTCCTGGGTGCTCTCTGAGCTTGCTTGTTTTCTTGCAGATTTTTCATGACCCAACTAGGTAACTTCATCAGTGCTAGAAGAGAGTGGGTTTGCAGGAAGGAAGAGGAAAATGACCGTGAAGTCCTGGGTGCTCTCTGAGCTTTGTGGTTTTCTTGCAGCTGTTTCATGACCCAACTAGGTAACATCAGTTTTAGAAGGGAGTGGGGTGTGTGGAGCAGAGGAAGGGAGGAAGGAGGCGGACCGTGGGGTCCTTGGTGCTCTCTGAGCTTGGTTGTTTTCTTGCAGTCATTTCATTATCCAACTAGATCAGTGATTCTCAATCTTTTTAATACCGCGACCCCCAACCGGTCGTAAGTCGAGGACTACTCAACTGGTGCAGCACCGTTTGCAGAATGGGACTTTTGGCGGGCTCAGCAGGGCAGAGACAGCCTGGACAATTCTATTGGCTTTTGAAAGCCAATAGAATTAGACTCTATTCAAGAGAGTCTATTCTATTGGCTTTCAAAAGCCAATAGAATAAAAGGGAGTAGCACAGCTAAGGAAAAGGGGGAAAAAAATGGCGGACTGCGTTGTTTGGCAACCCCCGTGAAATGGTCGTTCGACCCCAACCACTGAACTAGATCATATCAGTATTAAAACGGACTGGAGTTTGCTTCTTGTATATACACAGTAGCCTATTATTGTATATGAACAAAGAGCAAACCTCACTCCCTTCTAGCACTGATGATGTTATCTAGTTGGGTCATGATATGCCTGCAAGAAAACAACCAAGCTCGGAGAGCACAAAAGACCCCACAGTAGGGTGTGTTTAGCCCGCAGAAGCGAAGATTTAAGGAAGGAACGAAAACAGTCTTCTTTCTGCCATCACTTCCATGAGGGATGACTTCACGACTCCCCATTCCAGCCTGTAGCCTTGGGATTTCCTGGTGGTCTCTTATCCCAGCAGTACTGAAGCTCAAACTCACTTTTTTTTCCCCCAAATCTAAACCACCTTAACAAAACACTAACCTCCTGCAGAAACCCGTTCCACAGAGACACATAAGGAGCAGGATAGGTGGCAAAGATCCCTGCGGTGGCTGCCGGTCCCGTCACCGTCAGGTTCCCTCCTGTGTAGTTCTGTAGTGCTTCTAAAAGGGAAGAAGGAAGCAAGTCTTTGGAGAGCCAACGTAAAAAGACGAAGGTTTTTTTTTAAAAAAAATACAGGTAGTCCTTCCAACCCTTTGTTTAGTGGCCATTCAGTGCAACAGTACTGCAAAAGTGACTTAGGATGCTTTTTCACAGTTAACGATCATTGCAGCAGCATCCCCACGGTCACCTGATCAAATGTCAAGTGTGTCAACGCTGCTAACATTGGATGTTCTTGCTTTGACAACATATGAAGGTGCAGCCTTTTTCTTTCTCATGCTTTACTCTTAGAATTAGATGATGCTGGGGGAGGGGGAGGAATGTGATGGGAGTTAGTTAGACATAACAATATTGTAATAGTGTGTGGTGTGTGCTAAGGAAGGGGAATCTGTGTAAGTGCCAATGTGTTGCTGCTCGAATAAAGACTCTTTAAACAATGCCTCAAAGTTCTTTGAAGAGTTTCATATGTTGGAGCCATAACATTAAAACAAAATCTGGATTCCCCTCCCCTGAGCACATAGTATAAAAGACAATTCCCTCCTCTAATTAACCGTCATAAATCACATTCTCCAATTAGTTTGAAATGCAGGCTTTCCCTTCTGTTCTCCAACCCGCCATTCCTTATCGTCTCTTATTTCAAAAGCTCTGAATGCACACACTATTACAATATTGTTATGTCTAACTAACTCCCATCACATTCCTCCACCTCCCCCAGTATCATCTAATTCTAAGAGTAAAGCATAAGAAAGAAAAAGGCTGCACCTCCATATGTTGTCAAAGCAAGAACATCCAATGTTAGCAGCATTGACAAAGTGCTTGATTCATATTTATGATGGTTGCAGCGATCCCACCAGGGTCCCATGATCCACTTTGGCGACCGTCCGACAAGCAAAGGCAGTGGGGAAGCCAGATTCACCTCAACAACGATGTTACTGTCTAAGACAGTGGTTCTCAACCTGTGGGTCGGGACCCCATTTGGGGTTGAACGACCATTTCACGGGGGTCGCCAAACAACGCAATCCGCCATTTTTCCCCCCTTTTCCTTAGCTGTGCTACTCCCTTTTATTCTATTGGCTTTTGAAAGCCAATAGAATAGACTCTTTTGAATAAGTCTAATTCTATTGGCTTTCAAAAGCCAATAGGAATTGTCCAGCTGTCTCTGCCCTGCTGAGCCCGCCAAAAGTCCCATTCTGCAAATGGTGCTGCACCAGTTGAGTAGTCCTCGACTTACGACCGGTTGAGTAGTCCTCGACTTACGACCAGTTGGGGGTCGCGGCATTAAAAAGGTTGAGAACCACTGGTCTAAGAGGTGCAGTGATTCGCTTAATGACCGTGACAAGAAAGGTCGTAAAATGGGGCAAAATTCATTTAACATTGTCTTACTTGGCAGCAGAAGTTGTGGTCGTTAAGTCAAGGACTACCTGTATTCTCAAGGCAGGCCAGTTGCGGGTGGGGGGAGGGGGCTAATTTCTGCCATCATCTCCATGAGGAATGACTTCACGACTCCCCATTCCAACCTGTAGCCTTGGGATTTCCTAGTGGTCTCTTATCCCAGCAATACTGAGGCTCAAATTTACTTTTTTTTTTCAATTCTAAACCACCTTAACAAAATGAAATTCAATGGTGAAAAAAGTAAGGTTCTACATTTAGGAAAGAAAAACCAAATGTACAGGTATAGTATAGGGGATACCTTGCTCAACAGTAGTAACTGTGAGAGGGACCTCAGAGTCCTAGTGGACAATCACTTAGATATGAGCCAGCCGTGTGCTGCAGCTGCCAAAAAGGCCAACACAGTGCTAGGCTGCATTAACAGAGGTATAGAATCAAGATCATGTGAAGTGTTAATACCACTTTACAATGTCTTGGTAAGGCCACACTTGGAATCCTGCATCCAGTTTTGGTCACCACAATGTAAAAAAGATCTTGAGGCTCTAGAAAGAGTGCAGAGAAGAGCAACAAAGATGATCAGGGGACTGGAGGCTAAAACATACAAGGAACAGTTGCTGGAATTGGGTATGTCTAGTTTAATGAAGGACGGGGGGGGGGGACATGATAGCAGTGTTCCAATATCTCAGAGGCTGCCACAAAGAAGAGGGAGTCAAACTATTCTCCAAAGCACCTGAAGGCAGGACAAGATCCAACACTGGAAGTTTTTAAGAAGAGATTGGACAGCCATTTGTCTGAAATGGTATAGGTTTCCCATCTGAGCAGGGGGTTGGACTAGATGACCTCCAAGGCTCCTTCCAACTTTATTATTTTATTTATTTATTTATTTATTTATGAGACTTATATACCGCTTTAAGTGCAAGCACTCTCTAAGCGGTGTACACCAGTAAGCAATGAATATATATATTTACATTGCCCCCAACAATCTGGGTCCTCATTTTACCTACCTTGGAAGGATGGAAGGCTGAGTCAACCATGAGCCGGTGAGATTTGAACCGCTGACCTGTTGAACACAGTCAGCTAAAGTGGCCTGCAGTACTGCACTCTAACTGCTGCGCCACCTCAGCTCATTATTATTATTATTATTATTATTATTAGTAGTAGTAGTAGTAGTAGTAGTAGTAGTAGTAGTAGTAGTAGTAGTAGTAGTAGTACTGTCCCCTATTTGGGGGCTTGTTAAGGAAGGCGATGAGCACTAAAGAGAATTTGCCTTTAATTTTCCTTTCCTGCCTGGCCTTTTCATATTCTGTATCTCCTGCTTCAAAACCAGCAGACATTATCTCAGTACTCATGCCAAAAAATATAAATAGAAGACTTGCAGTTTGGCATGGAGGACATCCAGTGGGCGTGATAATCATTTCAGAAATGTGGAAAATGTAATTTTAGCCGCTTAATAGATTTCTTAAGAATGATTAGGTGGGTGGAGGCTAAAACATACAAAGAACAGTTTTAGGTATTGGGTATGTCTAGTTTAATGAAAAGAAGGACTACCTGTAATATGATCTCTGCTGCTTGCTGGTTTCCTAGCAAATGATGGCCTCTTTGGGGATTAGACCGACAGTCTCGTCCTTCAAGAGGCTTCCAAGGAACAATCCCAGGGCTATCATGGCCCAAGCAGGACTCTACCAGTCTCCATGAGGTTAATTGAAATCCCCAATCATTGAAGGAGAATATTTATAGCTCAGGGGTGAAGTGAGAGGTCCTGGGTGCTCTCTGAGCTTGGTTGTGTGTGTGTGAGGAGGAGAAGGAGCAGGAGCAGGAGCTGGAGGAAGAAGGAGACCGCGGAGGTGTGTCCTTGGTGCTCTCTGAGCTCGCTTGTTTTCTTGCAGATATTTTATGACCCAACTAGGTAACTTCATCAGTGCTAGAATGGAGTGGGGTTTGTCAGGAAGGGGGGGAGGAGGAGGAGGAGAACTTGGGGGGTCCTTGGTGCTCTCTGAGCTTGCTTGTTTTCTTGCAGATGTTACCCTAATTAGCTGATATCACCAGTGCTAGACTATCACTGATGATGTTCCCTAGTTTGGTAATGAAACGTCTGCAAGAGAACAAGCGAGCTCGGACAGCACCAAAAGGCTCCCCAATCATTAAACGCAAGATGGCATTATACAATGAGACTGCAGCTGGTTCAAAACGAAGAGAAAGCTGCACATCTGTAATCAGAGATGTATCCTTACAGGATGGCCTCCTCCTCCTCCTCCTTGCTCCCAGCACAGAAATGTAGACCTTTTTCCGATAAGGGAAGGGTGTCCAATCTTGGCAACTTTTAACACTTGTGGACTTCAACTCCCAACATGGCTGGCTGGGGAATTCTGGGAGCTGAAGTCCACAAGTCTTAAAAGTTGCCAAGGTTGGATGCCCCTGAGATAAAGAGAGTCTAGATCAGTGGTTCTCAACCTTTTTAATGCCGCGACCCCCAACCGGTCGTAAGTCGAGGACCACTCAACCAGTCGTAAGTCGAGGACTACTCAACCGGTCGTAAGTCGAGGACTACTCAACTGGTGCAGCACCGTTTGCAGAATGGGACTTTTGGCGGGCTCAGCAGGGCAGAGACAGCCTGGACAATTCCTATTGGCTTTTGAAAGCCAATAGAATTAGAATCTATTCAAGAGAGTCTATTCTATTGGCTTTCAAAAGCCAATAGAATAAAAGGGAGTAGCACAGCTAAGGAAAAGGGGGAAAAAAATGGCGGACTGCGTTGTTTGGCAACCCCCGTGAAATGGTCGTTCGACCCCAAATGGGGTCCCGACCCACAGGTTGAGAACCACCGGTCTAGATAGTCCTCAACTTACAACCGTGCATTTAGTGACTGATCCCCTTTTGCGACCTTTGGACACACAAAGCCAATGGGGAAGCCAGATTCATTTAATAACCGTGTGACCACATCGGCATCTGCCATGATTCGCTTAACAACTGCGGCAAGAAAGGTCATAAAACGGGACAAAACTCACTTCACAAATGTCTCTCTTAGCCACAGAAATATTGGGCTTGATTGCGGTCGTAAGTCGAGGACTCCCTGTAATTGTTGTTGGTTTTTTTTCCCTCTCCTGAGAACAAAGGAGGATTTGCACATACCATAATATAAAGCAAAAATAACAGCCGATGCGGCGAAGGATCCAAAGAACTGGCCAATGACGTATGCCGGGAGTTTGCGCCAGAGTAGATTTCCTACCACACAGTTGGCGAAACTGATGGACGCATTCATGTGAGCACCTGGTGGCGACAAGACAACAGGAGAAGAACGATTGGGACAGTAGCAGGAAGAGGAACAGCAACCTGCTGGCTTACTAGAACTAGCCACCATCCACATCATTGCGCAATAAAATGTCAGGAAATCTCAGTTCCAAGGCTGCTCTTTCAAGAGGCAAGTGGACTTTCTTGTTTTCCTTTGAAGACGCTTTACTTCTCATCCAAGAAGCTGCTTCAGCTCTGACTGGATGGTGAGGAATGGAAGGATTTATAATCTTTGCAGACAGCTGGTCATTTGCATTTTTAGAGAGTCATTGAGACCCCTTGGAGGTTTGTCTGTGTCCTCAGGGTCACCTGAGAAGTGGAAATGGGTGTGGAGCCTTCTTGGCTGCAGGATGTTTTCTGCCCTGGGTGCCTTCGCACTCATTTGGTGGGGAATGGAAGGATTTGCACTCCTTGCAGACAGCTGGTCATTTGCATTCTTTTAGAGAGTCGTTGAGGCCACCTGGAGGTTATCTGTGTCCTCAGGGTCACCTGAGTGGTGTAAATGAATGTGAAGGGACCCAGGGCTGAAAACATCCTGTAGTCAAGAAAGCTCCACACTCATCTGCACTACTCAGGTGACCCTGATGACACGATAAACCTCCAGGTGGCCTCAACGACTCTCTAAAAGGATTTAGTCCTTGCAGACAGCTGGTCATTTGCATTCTTTTAGAGAGTCGTTGAGGCCACCTGGAGGTTTATCTGTGTCCTCAAGGTCACCTGTTTAATGCAAATGGGTGTGAAAGGACCCAGGGCAGAAAACATCCTGCAGCCAAAAAGGCTCCACACCCATTTCCATCTCAGGTGACCCTGAGGACACAGATAAACTTCCAAGTGGCCTCAACAATTCTCTAAAAGAAAGCAAATGACCAGCTGTCTGCAAGGAGTATAAATCCTTCCATTCCCCACCATCCAATCAGAGCTGAAGAAGCTTGTTGGATGAGAAGCAAAACATCTTCAAAGGAAAACAAGAAAATCTAGTTGCCTCTTGAAAAAGCTCTCCTGGAACAACCATGACCTGGATGACAAAGAACCTCCATAGACACGATATCTCAGCTTATGTTGAAACCCACATTAGGGAAAGTGGTAGGAATAATATTCAACAAAAGGATCCACCCTCTATCATGTCGTCTGGGCGCAGTGCAGATCGCCAAAGGTCCTTTTTTTAACAACAGGTGAAGGAAAAACTTTGCACTGTCTAGAAGAGTGCTTCTCAGCCTTGACAACTTGAAAATGGGTGGACTTCACTTCCCAGGATACATCAGCCAGTGTCCAAGAACTTGTCAAGGTTGAGAAACACTGAGCCTCGTGGCTTGAGAACTCTGGGAGTTGTAGTTTCAAGATGGGTTGTGAAGGACACTATAAAAGAAAATATTTGCAATTCAGGGTTGAACTGTCGAGTCCTTGGTGCTCTCTGAGCTTGGTGGTATTCATGGAGATGTTTCATGACCCAATTAGGTAGCATCATCAGTACTAGAAGGGTGAGGGGCTTGGGGGGGAGGAGGAGGACAAGTAGGTTGAGGACAACGACAACTATAGGGTCCTTGGTGCTCTCTTGGTGGTTTTCATGCAGATGTTTCATGACCCACTAGGTAGTATCAATATCAGTCTTCCAATATCTCAGGGGCTGCCACAAAGAACAGGGAGTCAAGCTATTCTCCAAAGCACCTGAAGGCAGGACAAGAAGCAACAGATGGAAACTAACCAAAGAGAGAGGCAACCTAGAACCAAGGAGAAATTCCCTGACAGTGAGAACAATTAATCAGTGGAACAACCTGCCTCCAGAAGTTGTGGGTGCTCCAACACTGGAAGTTTTTAAGAAGAGATTAGACAACCATTTGTCAGAAATAGTATAGGTGGCAAACCTATGGCACCCGTGCCAGAGGCAGCAGTCAGAACCCACTCTGTGGGCACATGCGCCATCGCCCCAGCCCTGCCTCCCCCCATGGCCCCCGCCTCACCAGCAGCACCTCCAGAGGAGAGTCGCCCCCGGGCGTGGCCCGCGTGGAGCAGCGCAGCCAAGGACATGGCAGCCAGGAAGCAAGGACAAGACTCCGCCCTCGCGCCCTGTCGTGCGCAGTTGATGCTACAGGGTGCAAGCAGAGGGCGTCACTGCTATGGTGCTGCTGGGCTGTCTGGGCAATCTGTGGTGGGCCGTGGAGGCGGTGGGTGGCCCTGCAGGGGAGGGGACGGGGGCAGGGGCAGGGCGGGGTTGAGGGGGGCGCAGGTTGGTTTTGGGGCACTCGGTCTCTAAAAGGTTCGCCATCACTGGTATAGGGTTTCCTGCCTAAGCAGGGGGTTGGACTAGAAGACCTCCAAGGTCCCTTCCAACTCTGTTATTCTATTCTGTCATTGCTGCTAGAAGGGAGAGGAGTTTGGGAGGAGGAGGAGGAGGAGGAGGAGGAGGAGGAGGAGGAGGAGGAGGAGGAGGAGGAGGAGGAGGAGGAGGAGGAGAAGGAGGAGGAGGAGGACGACTATAATAATAATAATGATGATGATAAAGTTGGAAGGGACCTTGGAGGTCATCTAGTCCAACCGCCTGCTCAGGCAGGAAACCCTATACCATTTCGGACAATGGCTGTCCAGTTTCTTCTTAAAAACTTCCAGTGTTGGTGCATTCACTGCTTCTGGAGGCAGGTTATTCCACTGGTTAATTGTTCTAACTGTCAGGAAGTTTCTCCTTAGTTCTAGGTTGCTTCTTTCTTTGGTTAGTTTCCACCCGTTGCTTCTTGTCCTGCCTTCTTTAGGCGCTTTGGAGAATAAAGTCCTTGGTGCTCTCTGACCTTGCAGACATTTCATTTCCAATCTAGATAACATCATCAGTTGCCCAGTTTACTCATCAGACCCCACTCCCTCACTTTCTAGACTCACCTGAGATTCCACCAGCTGCATGGACTCCCAACATGACACCAAACCCAAACCCAAGATTGATGCTCAGGTACTCTCCAAAACTGTTCTTTCCCAACACGACTTGTGCCACGGACCCAAGGCCAAAACTCTGTCAGAAGAAAAAGAGAAGGTCTCCCAGAATCTCTGCAATTTTAGATAGGGCAGGGGGTCTCCGAACCTGGCAACTTTAAGACTTGTGGACTCCAATCCCCATGCTAGCTGGAAAATTCTGGAAAAACTAGTCCAGGAAGAAAGAAAAACTAGAAAAACAAGGATAACAGGATAAGTTTACAAAGAGGAAGGAAAACAATATCGTCTTTTCTCTGATATTCCCAGGAAAATGTCCTGGACAGAGCTCAAACATCAGGATCAGATCATGTTTGGCATGCCGAAAATCCTAAATTCCCTTTTTTCCCTTGGGAACCTGGAAGGCTGTGACCCTTTGAAGAGAGAGAGCCTTGAAAAACATTGGCCAATAATCTAATTCAGTATAAAATACCATGACAGGGGAAAAATTGGTGTAACTCTCTCAATATATTTGCATTTGTTGGCTTTCTCAGCTTGCAAAGTCCATAACATTTTGCTTTTATTGTGACCTACCTGTTTGGCTGGGGATATAGTCCTTCGCTCACATTTAGTTTGGAGGACTCCAAAAAAAAAAAATTCTGTTTGGTCTTTTGCACATCTGAGTCCAAGCAGACGTGACTACGAAGTTGTTGAAGGTCTCTGGGTCAGAGGTTGCTCAGGACAAACCTGACTTTTGTTTTGGTTTCTTACCATTTGTGTTGACCATTTTTTAAACAAAATAAAAACCAGAAGAGCAAATATAGAAAATAAAGAAAAATAGTAAATGGTAAAAGAAAAGAAATAGAAAAGGGAAAGAAAGAAAGAAAGAAAGAAAGAAAGAAAGAAAGAAAGAAAGAAAGAAAGAAAGAAAGAAAGAAAGAAAGAAAGAAAGAAGAGGGAGAGAGGAAGGAAGGAAAGAGAAAGAAAGGAAGAAAAAGAAGGAAGGAAGGAAGGAAGGAAGGAAGGAAAAAAGAAGGGAGGAAGGGAAGAAAGGGAGGATGGAAGAGAAAGAAAGAAAGAAAGAAAGAAAGAAAGAGGGAGGGAGGGAGGGAGGGAGAAAGAAAGAAAAAAGAATGGAAGGAAGGAAGGAAAGAAGAAGGGAGGAAGAAAGGGAGGAAGGAAGAGAAAGAAAGAAGAAAGAAAGAGAGAAAGAAAAAAGAAAGAAAAGAAGAGAAGAGAAGAGAAGAGAAGAGAAGAGAAATCATAACAAAATTCCTACCAATCTTCTTGAGAGTGGTTATGGATATATTTATAGAATATTTTGCTATTCTCACTAAAGTTACATCGTAACTTTCATAAGCTATACTTTCTAATCTTCAAATCCACTAGTAAAAATTTCATTTTTCCTTCACCAAAAAAATTCCATAAGCCAGGAAAAGGCATGCTTCCAATATTTCCATCCTTATCCACCCACCCATCCACGCACACCATCTTCTAACTTAGTTTTTTTCTCAAACTCACCAACTTGAAGATGGGTGGACTTGCGTTGCTGGCTGGGGGGGGGGAATTCTGGGAGTTGGTCCACCCATCTTCAAGTTGCCATGGTTTAGAACCCCTGTCCTAGCACATTCTCCTTCTCCCCAACACACCCCACGTCTTCTCACCATCAAGAGGAAGGTCGCCAGAGCTTCAGCCAGGCCCTGTCGGATCGTTTCGTTCCGGATCGTCACCACATTGACTAATTTTTCCAACATCTCGATCACCCAGATACGACTTCTGTTGGAAAGGAAGATGTCACGGTAAAAACCTTAAGTTTGCAGTAGCTTCAAATGCAAAGGCGTTCTTTCATCTCCTCCCGGCTGTGTACTGACAGTTCCCACCATCTGGTTAAAGTCTAATCGGTCCATTGAGCATCTGCTGTCCTTACATAGCCCTTTCCACCACCCCACCCTGCTTTTGTCACCGTCTCCTGGGCCACCACGACACCAAGGACCCACCAAGCTTTACAACATTGTGACCTCAAATCCATTGTGAGAAAAAAAGCAGACCTGCCTCCAGGAATTGTTGCAGAATCCAAAATGAAATCTGAGAATTTGCCAGGGGTAGCAAAGGATGGAATTAAATTCAGTAACATTTCACCCTCCCGCTTGTCTCAGATGCAACGAATGGAAATATTCATCTGGCATCTATTCACAGGCTAACTATAGACGTGATAATATCAAGAGATCGTATCCATCTCTAATTGTAACCCAGAGAATTTGTGATCTTGGTTCCTGGAAAAATGATGTCAAACTCGTGTCAGAAGGGGACAATAGATTACATAATTATACAGTGGTCTCCGAGTAAACCGAACACGTGAAAATATAACAAAGGAACATCAGAGAGCAGTCACTGGGAGAGTTATTAAATGTTGGGACATGACTTTCATCCTTTCATCGTGAAACAGTAGAACATACTGTAATTTTAGGATGAGTTAGACCGGTATAATAACATAACAATTTGCAAAAATTATCCCACTCATAATCCAAGGTCAGAAATAAGAACAGAACTCCATTCAAGTGGAACCATAAACAAGGCACCACCAGCAGAATAACAGAAGATCTAGAGATTAAACCCTATGATGAACAGTTGAGGGAACTATGTCTAGTCTAGGGGTAGGCAACCATGGCTCTTTTATGACTCGTGGACTTCAACTCCCAGAATTCCTGAGCCAGCCATGCTGAGGGGAAAGGGAGAGGTTTCCAAGATGAGCCATGCTGGCTCAGGAATTCTGGGAGTTGAAGTCCACGAGTCATAAAAGAGCCAAGGTTGCCTACCCCTGGTCTAGTCTAACGAAGAGAAGGACGAGGGCTAACATGAGTCTTCCACTACTTGAGGGGTTGTCACAGAGAAGGGGGGGCAACTTATCCTCCAAAGCACCTGAAGGCAGGAGAAGCAATGAATGGAAACTAATCAAGGAGAGAAGCAAGGTAGAACAAAGAAAAATTTTTCTGACAGAACAATTAACCAATGCAATGACTTACCTCCAGAAGTTGTGAGGACTCCAACACTGGAGGTTTTCCGGAAGAGACTGGACAACCATTTTCTGAAATGGTATAGGCCAGGTGTAGGCAACCTTGGCTCTTTTATAACTCGTGGACTTCAACTCCCAGAATTCCTGAGCCAGCATAGCTGGACTATAGCCGGTGGTGGGATTCAGCCAGTTCACACCACTTCAGCACAACAGGTCGCTAATTTTTTGTTGCCCAGGCCCAGAATGGACTTCTGGAAGCAGCATCCACACAGAGAACTGGTTGTTCACCTATTTGAATCCCACCACTGGGTATAGGGCTTCCTGCCTGAGCAAGAGACTGGATTAGAAGTCCTCCAAGATCCCTTCCTACTGTGTTATTCTGTTTAATTAATCAGTAGAACGGTTTGCCTCCGGAAGTTGTGGGCGCTCCATCTGTCAGTTTTCAAGAAGAGACTGGACAGTCATTTGTCTGGGATAGTATAGGTTCTCCTGCTGGAGCAGGAGGTTGGACTAGATGGCCTCCAAGGTCCCTCCCAGGCCTAGGATTTTATGCTCTATGTCAGTGATTCTCAACCTGTGGGTTGGGACCCCATTTGGGATCGAACGACCATTTCACGGGGGTCACCAAACAACGCAGTCCGCCATTTTTTCCCCCTTTTCCTTAGCTGTGCTACTCCCTTTTATTCTTTTGGCTTTTGAAAGCCAATAGAATAGACTCTCTTGAATAGAGTCTAATTCTATTGGCTTTCAAAAGCCAATAGGAATTGTCCAGGCTGTCTCTGCCCTGCTGAGCCCGCCAAAAGTCCCATTCTGCAAACGGTGCTGCACCAGTTGAGTAGTCCTCGACTTACGACCGGTTGGGGGTCGCGGCATTAAAAAGGTTGAGAACCACTGCTCTATGTTTTAAATAATATCTTTAGATATATACATACCTCATTTCAGTTTCCCAAATATCCTCAGCACCGATCAATAGGTGGCGTTGCCGATATTTTGTTCAAGAGGATGAACAGGAGGGGGCTGATTAGGGGGGTCCACGAATCTGGTCCCCAGCATTCACGAGAGAGACGTGTCTCCTGGTTAAAAGTGGCCTTTTTCAGAGAGGGAAAAAAAACCGCATTGCACAGAAATAGCGATCAGAAAAACATTCCCCACGAACTCTGAGGCTGAACAAGGATAGCACCGAGACCCAGACGTCATGGCCACAGGTCAAAAGAACGAATGGAAAGTGCAGCCAGTTCTACTTGGACCCATTCCCGAAGCCACGTGTCTCAAAGGTCAATTTCACGCTTGTCTCTAACCCCCCCCCCTCCATTTCTACCTTGACAATTACTTCCAGAAGTGATTGATACTGGTTGGATTCACCCCATGGACCCAACCAGGTTATTGTATTAAGCAGAATAACAGAATAGCAGAGGTGGGAAGGACCTTGGGGGTCTTCTAGTCCAACTCCAAGCTCAAGCAGGAGACCCCATACTATTTGAAACAAATGGAAAGGCCACACGTGGAATACTACATCCAGTTTTGGTCGCCACAGTGTAAAAAAGATGTTGAGACTCTAGAAAGAGCACAGAGGAGAGCAATAAAGATGATCAGGGGGCTGGAGGCTAAAACAGTTGCTGGAATTGGGTATGTCTAGTTTAATGAAGAGAAGGACGAGGGGTGACATGATAGCAGTGTTCCAGTATCTCAGGGGCTGCCCCAAAGAAGAAGGAGTCAAGCTATTCCCCAAAACACCAGAAGGCAGGACAAGAAGCAATGGATGGAAACTAATCAAGGAGAGAAGCAACCTGGAACTAAACAGAAATTTTCTGACAGTAAGATAAGAAGAATAAATCAGTGGAACAACTTGCCTCCAGAAGTTGTGGGTGCTCCAACACTGGAGGTTTTTAAGAAGAGACTGGACAACCATTTGACTGAAATCCTATAGGGCAGTGGTGGCGAACCTATGGCACGGGTGCCAGAGGCTGCACTCAGAGCCCTCTCTGTGGGCACCCGCGCCGTCGACCCAGTCCTAGGCCTTCACCTGGGTTTTATAAAACCTTTTCATTTAGGCCTCCGCCGCCATGTGCTCAATCACTGGAGATTTTTAAGCTGAGATTGGACAGCCATTTATCTGAAATGGTATTTGTCTGAGCAAGTGGGTTGGACTAGAACAGTGGTTCTCAACCTTTTTAATGCTGCGACCCCCAACCGGTCGTAAGTCGAGGACTACTCAACTGGTGCAGCACCGTTTGCAGAATGGGACTTTTGGCGGGCTCAGCAGGGCAGAGACAGCCTGGACAATTCCTATTGGCTTTTGAAAGCCAATAGAATTAGACTCTATTCAAGAGAGTCTATTCTATTGGCTTTCAAAAGCCAATAGAATAAAAGGGAGTAGCACAGCTAAGGAAAAGGGGGAAAAAATGGCGGACTGCGTTGTTTGGCGACCCCCCTGAAATGGTCGTTCAACCCCAAATGGGGTCCCGACCCACAGGTTGAGAACCACTGGACTAGAAGATCTCCAAGGCCCCTTCCAATTCTGTTATTTAAATGGCTGTCCAATCTTTTCTTAAAAACCTCCAGGGATGGAGCACCCACAACTTCTGGAGGAAAGCTCTTTCACTGATGGGTGAAGTGATGAAGGTTGAGAACCACAGCATTAAGAAATTCCACTGAATGTTCTCAACCCATCTGGAATGTTCTGGATTTCATAGGAAAGAACAAAGCTGCTGAACCAAATATTCACGCCAGAGCGACTGTGTTCATCCAGGTAGCCTTCGTATTCAGTCTCATATTCGGACTGTCCTCCTTACAGCTAGTCCTCGTTTAGTGACTGTTCAAAGTTACGGCGGATCTCCCTGAAGATATCTACCACACATTATCCCACAGTCACATGACCCTATGTTAGGCACTCCATAACTGACTACTTTTATGGCCATTTGCAGCATCCCATGACCAAGGTGACTCTGTTTTTGGAAGATTTTGCCTCCACCCACCCAAAAAGGCCCCCAACATTTACTTTCAGTTTCTGACCAAAATGGCCCATTGGGATCCATGGCTTTGCTTAACGACCATGTTGGCTTAGTGACCGCCACAAAAAAGTGGAAAAAAACAAATACAGACCTGTTTCCCGGCCTCCACAGCTTACAAGGGGAGAAGGTCCATTATGGTCGTAAGTCTAAGACTCCGTGTTATCTTACCTTTTCAGACAGGAACCCCAATCCCAAGCTTGCTTGCCCGGTAATAACTTTGTGATTTAGTCCTGATGCGCATTTTATCCTTCACTTCGGCAATCAGCAACTCAAAGGTCACTTTTCTTGTCTCCCTTTCCATCACACAACAAGGGTTACACACAGCTCCGCTCCATCGCTGCCCATGAAACATTAACTTTTACAACCAAGAAAGCCAAGATACAAAGAGATTAAGGTTATCTCCAGTGTGGAATTGTGCATCAGTTTTTAGCATGATGTTGGACCTGGCTGTTAATCTACATATGTCTTTCTCAACCTTGACTCTCTAAGATGGGTGGACTTCAACTCCCAGAATGCCCCAGCCAGCATATGTGGACTTCAACTCCCAGAATTCTGCTGGTTGAAGTTCCTCTCTCTCTCTCTCTCTCTCTTTCTCTCTCTCTCTCTCTCTCTCTCTCTGTCAATGTTTGCAGTCTAGTCCAATGTTTCTCAACCTTGGCTCTTTAAGATGGGTGGACTTCAACTCCCAGAATGCCCCAGCCAGCATATGTGGACTTCAACTCCCAGAATTCTGCTGGTTGACTCTCTTCCCCCCCCCCTCTGTGTATGTGTGTGTGTGTGTGTTTGCAGATCTAGTCCAATGTTTCTCAAAAAACACTTGAGCTACACTTGTGGCATCAGATCTAGAAATAGCCCCACTCTGCTCAAATTTATTTATTTATTAGATTGTTACCCTGCCTTGACTCGTAATCCTCGACTTACAACAGCTCATTTAGTGACCGTTCAAAGTTACAACGGCACTGAATAAAGTGACTTATGATCATTTTTCACAGTTCCAATCTTCTCAGCATCCCCGTGGTCACGTGATCAAAATTCAGCCGGTTGGCAACTTACTCATATTTATGACGGTTGCAGTATCTCGGGGTCATGTGACCTCCTTTTGCGGCCTTCTGACAACCAATGCGGAAACCAGATTCATTTAACAACTGGGCTGCTAACTTAGCAACTTCAGCGATTCACTTAACAACTGGGGCACGAAATAACGTAAAATGGGACAAGATTCACTTAACAACTGTCTCGCTTAGCAACAGAAATGTTAGTTTCAATTGTGGTCGTAAGTCGAGGATTACCTATATTACATTCTTTATAGGAAATTCAAGGTGGCCAGAATACCTAATATTCCTGCCTTCTCCTGTTTTCGCTACAACGACAACCCTGTGAGGTGGGCTGGCTTGAGAGAGAGGGACTGGCCCAAAATCACCCAGCTGGCTTTCATGCTTAAGGCGGAACTAGAACTCTCGGTGTCCTGGTGATTGGCCCAAAGTCACCCAGCAGACTTTCTTACATAAGGCAGAACTAGTACTCTCAAACTCCCAGAGATCGGTCCAAAAGTTACAAAGCTCACTTTAGTTTCCAAGCTGGGATTGGAACTCCTGGTGATTGGCCCAAATCACCCAGTTGGCTTTCGTGCCTAAGGCGGGACTAGAACTGACAATCTCCTGATGATTGGCCCCAAAGTCCCAAAGCCCACTTTAATTCCTAAGGCTGGATTAGAACTCAGAAAAAGGCAGATCGGTGCTGCCATCTACTGTGAAGGAGACCACTTGGAAACCAACCTATCTTTCAAAAAAACTGCCTGGAAGAGAAATGTTGGCTAGGGCAATTCCCATATCTGACCAGTTAATAATAATAATAATAATAATAATAATAATAATAATAGTACCAATAGTAATAGGTGCCTTGGGTGCAATCTCACAACAACTGGAGCACCAATTGAACACCATTGGCATTGACAAATTCGCCATTAGTCAATTACAAAAGGCGGCCTTACTAAGAACTGCTTCCATCCTGCGACGATATCTGTAATACCATCAAACATCCACATCTGCCTATCCCAGGTCCTGGGTAAGGACTCGATAGGTAGACAAAATGCCAAATCCAGTCTGAACATCTGGCTGACTGTGCGATGATCAATAGTAGTAGTAGTAGTAGTAGTAGTAGTAGTAGTAGTAGTAGTAGTGAAGTTGGAAGGGACCTTGGAGGCCATCTAGTCCAACCCCCTGCTCAGGCAGGAAACCCTATACCATTTCAGACAAATGGCTGTCCAGTCTCTTCTTAAAAACTTCCAGGGTTGGAGCATTCACCGCTTCTGGAGGCAGGTTGTTCCACTGGTTAATTGTTCTCACTTATAGGAAATTTCTCTTTAGTTCTAGGTTGCTTCTCTCTTTGGTTAGTTTCCATCCGTTGCTTCTTGTCCAGGCGCTTTGGAGAATAGCTTGACTCCCTCTTCTTTGTGGCAGCCCCTGAGATATTGGAAGACTGCAGTCATGTCACCCCTCGTCCTTCTCTTCATTAGATTAGACATACCCAATTCCAGCAACCGTTCCTTGTATCTTTTAGCCTCCAATCCCCTGATCATCTTTGTTGCTCTTCTCTGCGCTCTATCTAGAGTCTCAGCATCTTTTTTATATCATGGTGACCAAAACTGGATGCAGTATTCCAAGTGTGGCAAGTTGTTCCACTGGTTCATTGTTCTAACTGTCAGAAAGTTTCTCCTTAGTTCTAGGTTGCTTCTCTCCTTGATTAGTTTAGGACACTTAATATGAAGCAGGCCTTCAATTTCTCCATAATGCCTTATGCTACTGAAAGAGAAAAAGGAAATGAAAGATTAATGTTGATTGAATGAAGGCAAAGTATAATGTCCCATGATAAGTTTGCAAGATCCAATCTGGGTCGGTCACTGAGACCAAAAGTTTACTTTACTGAGCTTTTGGACTTGTGCTGGAGTCCCTCTTCAAGGAGGTTCTCTCTACTTCGGGCTATTCTACGCTGTATATTTATGTAGTGCCTTCCGATTGGTTGATTGGTGTGTTGATGGCTAGTGATTGGCTGTTGTTTCCTTGTGCTTCAAGCCCTCGGCTCCTAAGTACCTGATCAGCTGGTGGTAAATCAGCACTCCTGTTGACCAACGAGGGACCTGTTTCCCAGGCTTCAATCATTTCCCTGGCTGTTTTTGTACCTGCTCAGCCAACAATCTTAGTAGCTGCGAAATTGAATGTATGTCCTAGTTCAGGGGTAGGCAACCCAAAACACTCAAAGAGCCACTTGAACCCGTTTCCCACCAAAAACAAAACACCGGGAGCCGCAAAACCCTTTTGAGATCTAAAATGAAGATAACACTGCATATATCCTTTTTTATCTTTATTATAGGTGTGTGTGTGTGTGTGTGTGTGTGTGTGT